GTTGACAGAAATATTGTGTTTAATGACTAGTTTTGTGGATAATTCTTGAGCTGGTTTCAGGAACAAAAGGTAAACTGCAGTGTAATGTACTGTTGTTGGGTTTGTTAGTGTCAGTTTTGTTCGTGAGTTTTATTGTGGGGAATGTTGGAGATTTTCCAACTATAGCTGGTGGGAATTTATAGGTGTGAATAAAGGAATCCTTTATGTGGTTAATTTCTTCATTTATGTAGTCCGTTGAACAGAGTCTTGTGGCTGTGTTTATGAGGTTTTTAAGTGTATTGATTTTTTTGTGTGGTGTCATGTGCGGAATTCCAGGGGATGTAGAGACCAGTGTGTGTTTTTGCGGTGAATTTTAGTTTTAAACTGTGTCCGATCTAATAATTTTGAGGTTAAGAGGTTAATATTTGATTTTCGATACCTCACTAGTATGAAAGCTTGGTTTGGTCTGATATTTCATTGGTGGTAGCGTCCAGGGTCACTGATGAGGAGTGTAATTCTCCGAAACTAGTCTGGCCCATAGACACGCACCCCAATGAAAGAATAGACCATTCCAAGCTTTAACTTGTTGTTAAACAAATGTTTAAACAACTCTAATTATTCAATTATGTACAAGCTGCCAAGTGTCAGATAACAATACGAAGAATTAAATTGTGGCGGATTGCTACAAGTTCTTCAAACACCTATAGAATGATAGGTTTCTTTTTGATGAGTGTAAAACACGTAAATACACCAGTTTGATTTTCTCTACAACTGTCACGCTAAATTATGGAGTTTGTCCATTTCACCGTTGTTTGTTTATATATAAACAATTTGTTTGTTCTTTAGCCACACAATAGACTAGCTATGCTATGTCCACCGCTGGGCATTGAACCCCAATATTTAGCGTTGGAAACCCGTAAACTGGAGGACGAAATATAAACAAAAAAAAAATGCTCTTTAATCAGGTGGCCTTCACGTGACAAGACGGTATTCTGCCATTTTTGACGAAAGAATACAGGCACAGTCGTTCGTACGTGTTAATAAATTACGTGCAAGTATTGAATGACTTATTTCTCGATTTCATTAGAATATCGAGTAATTAATACACTGAAATTCAAAAGTAAGTTTCTCTGAGTTCTTTCGTAGTAACTAAGACACAAAGGGAGTTGAATTCACCATAGAAACTGTGTAGAAATGCATTGAAATTCATTTATTTTTAGTTTGAACTCTGGGAATAAAAATGCCCTAAAAGTAAAATATGACTAATAATGTAAATAAGCATAGGCCTAGCATTTACACCACGGTCCTAACATTAACAAATAGGTTAGATTGAAGCTATAAACATTAGTTTTACGTTTTATCAATTCAATGGGACAAGAATGGCCCATTTGATAAAACTTAAACTTTTAAAGCTCTAAGTTTAATTATTTACCTAACATACATAATGTGATTTGTTTTTCATTGAATGAAGTGTAATAAGTAATGATGTTATTTTTAAAGTCTAACAATTGAGAATTTTTGTATATTTTTTTCATGGTTAATGCTGTATTGGATCTTTCATGATCTGCAGGTCATAATGGTGGAATTTGGTTTGTTATCAACACATTTGAAGAACTGTTTCTTCAGGCTTCTGCGGCAGTTGATAGACTTAGCTGTGTGGGTCCTATTTGGTGTCTTACTAAGAGAGAAAATCCACCCTATTCCTCCTATAAAAAATAAATTACTTCTGGAAACAGCAACATCCTTAGCACTGAAAATAAGAACAAGACAGGTAATGTTTCAAAGACTACAAATTCAGTTTCTACTTGTGATTTAATTTGAATTCATCTGTAAGATTTTTTTTTACATGTGTTTATGTGGCAGGTTTAACCCCATATCCTCAATCAAGACCCCTTAAGTTCTTCACCAAGTTTTCAAGGTTGACAGTAATGCTATAGCAACACGGCTTCAGCATGAAAACCAAATAGTCAATACGCGTTTTTTCTATTTTCCATGACTCTAAATTCTTCCAGAACTTTCAATTATTCCTGTATCTTTAGGCTACTTATCTGGAAGATTATTTACTTTTGATAAATGCTAAAGAAGTTAGTTACACAAACAAAAAACTAGTCAAAATAGTTTGCTGAATTTTGGAAGAACTGAAAGTGGCTTAACTCGAGTTCTAGTGTTTAAAACTTGTAGGATCTCAAATCCATCTGTATAAGGTATTTTTAACTGATCCAATTAAGAAGTGTGACAGGTCAGATCCAGATTTTACAAACTTGTAGTATAGTTTGTCTGATGATGTGATGGATACCATTACTGTTTTTTGACATCTGTTAGGCAAGCATATTGATCCAGTATATGAAAATCATTAGTTTAGTTTTGATGCTCTGGTTGGTTGGTTGTGGTAATACCTTGATCATACTTATGTTATTTTCTTTATATACTCATCTATATAAAAGTATTGTAACACGTACATCTTTTAGCTGAGGTTATTTTTACCTTCCAATTATACAAGTTATATTATGAAATGTATGAAAATACAAAACATTTGGTTCTTCAAGGGTGTCCGTACACACCCACCCTTAAAAAAAGCAAACATTTAAACCTACCCTTTATTTTTAGAAAATTGTTAGTTCCCCCTCTTTAACTATTGTAAAATGCAGACTTCTACTATAGTCCATGACGTCTTATTCCAGAATCCAATCAGTTTAATGGAAAAATAAAATTTTCTTTCTGATGTCTTCGGAATATAGCAAAAAATAAGTTAAAGGCTTTCATCGGTTAATGGATACTCTTACAGACTTCAGTAAAAATCACCTTTTACCCTACTTTTTTCTCGAGAGTAAATAGGTTTGAGTTCTTAACCTATTCCCATGACAACGTTTTCATCCGTGGAATTATCCTAGTATGTTGGTTCTAAGTCTGTGGTCTGCAGGCTTTCTTCAGGTATTCTGTGGAAAGGAAGTGGTAGCATTATGTATAATCCCATTGTTGTCTACCAAGATCAGAAAAAAAATATATTGCTCCAATTGAACACAGTATTCCAAGTGAAGCCTAACTAATAAGTTGTTTTGACTCCCAAGAGTCCAGAACTGTTCTTGATTTGAGTTCTAGTTAGCACAGCCCTATGTACAAATAAAATGGGGGGGGGGAATACTAGGCATCCCAATGAAAGTTTTAGTCGCCATGGCGGAGACCTGGTGCCCGGTATTTGTCGTCGCCTGCTTTACACATCTTGGACCATTCATTGTCAGGTTTAAGGATTTATAGATAACAAGAAAAAAACAACAATAAGTGAAATGTATTAGATTGTAGAATTTGTGTGTTGCATGTTTTATAATTCAGCAAAACAGACTGGTAATGTTTAATTTTTCCAGGATTTGAAACAGGTTTTTTATTTCAGTGTTGTCAGACTTTTTTACCACATCTAGTGTAACTTAGTTACCTAATACACATCTGGTATCAGACTTGTTTATGACCCTACTGCTTTATAATATATAAACATGGAAACTTAAACAGTGTTGAATACTATAAACAGGAATAAACCAGTAACTAGGTTTCTTATTTCGGTGTTGTCAGACTTTTTACTACATCTAATGTAACGTAGTTACCTAATACACATCTGGTATCAGACTTGTTTATGACCCTACTGCTTTATAATATATAAACATGGAAACTTAAACAGTGTTGAATACTATAAACAGGAATAAACCACTAACTAGGTTTCTTATTTCGGTGTTGTCAGACTTTTTACTACATCTAGTGTAACGTAGTTACCTAATACACATCTGGTATCAGACTTGTTTATGACCCTACTGCTTTATAATATATAAACATGGAAACTTAAACAGTGTTGAATACTATAAACAGGAATAAACCACTAACTAGGTTTCTTATTTCGGTGTTGTCAGACTTTTTACTACATCTAGTGTAACGTAGTTACCTAATACACATCTGGTATC